TGGAGCTGAGGGATGCTCCTTAGGCATTTGTCAACATCCACAGACTCCCCAACACAGAGCGTGGACCCTAATGCAAATGACAGCCTTGAATGTTAATGTATCAATAGTGGCTCATCAAGTTATACCAAATGCACTCACTGATGCAAGATGAAGGAAGCTGCACATGGGCCTTGGGTGGGGAGAAGAGGCAGATGGGAACTCTTTGTGCCTTCTGGTCAATTTTTCTAGTAACTTAAAAACTGGTCTAAAAAAATAGACAATTAATTAAAAATGAATGAATTAACTTCCAAGCCATCAAAATAATTTTTTTTCCCGAATCATGCAGGATATTTCCGATTACTTCTGTCTACAGGGTATCCTAAAATATGAAATGCACACAAAACCAAGAGGCTAAGAGAACATATTCCTAAGCAACTGCTGTAGAAGCTGGTTGCGTGGTGCCATCCTTGATGGTAGAGGAGGCTTTGTTCTGTGTCTGAGAGTCAGGAGATGCCCTCTGTTAATGTTCTTTCAGTTTCTCAGAATCTTTCCCAGAATGATCTTCCATTTTATCTGCTATTCTTAGCTAGAGCCTAATTATGTCTAGGTATCATAATTAATGAAGCCATAAGAGTACAGTGGCGCTGCCTTATCATGTAGTCTGCTAGCCCTTCGATGATAAATCTACAAAACTCACGAATAAATCACTTACTCTGATACAACTGCAATATGCCATCATATACACTCAAATAAAATGGTAGTATTATCTCCACCACTTTTGACAATAGGCTAAACTGGAGAACAGATAAATACAGCTTACTCTTCTGCAGATACATTTTGAAAGCACAGTGTTATGGGATCTTCATTTACCACTTTTTTACTTAACTCTTTACTTTTTTATTTACTCTTTCCTGTAAGACTAAACCGAGGGAGAGGACTTCCTTGTCTAGCCCAGCTCCATGCTGAACAGAGTACTGCTGCATGGCTGGTCAAAACCACATCCAAACTTGAACCCAGAAGTCTGCTCAGAAGCTTTTGGTAAATCCAATCTTGAGATGTGGAACAGAACAGGAGCTCTGAGTTTGCTGTTACCATCAGTCACATGTGCCCACGGCTACTGGAATGTCTAGCTTTTGCCCAGGAATAATCTGGACTTGCCTCTGGCTCATGTTAGTGAATTCATGTGTTCAAATCCCAGGCCCAGTTCCAGAGCTGCACACGACCCCTTTAATCAGCCAGCTGGTACAGGCATGCCATTGTTCCTGGGGTGCAGCATCGGGCTGGGCAGTCTGCAGAGATCAGCTGAAACCACTCAGCGGGATGCCTCCGCTGCTGCAGCTGGTCACAAGGAAAACATATGTGCACCGAAGGAGCATGGTACCCAGGACACATTTCATTCATTCAAAAGCCTGCTGACATTTACAAGTCTTTTAGGCCTTTTAAGAAACTCCACATACCATTATCACATATGCTTCCCCCACTGAATGCAGTAAAAATAACCAAGAAGCATGTCCTTTTAGTGAGGCATCAGTGGCTGACTTTTAGGGCTCTCATTTTACAAATAATCCAAAGTTTTAACTTGTGGAGAGTTTTGACGTGGGCAAAGCCATGAGAATGATGCTGATATACAGAGAGACCTCGCAGCCTGATAATTTTTTCCCAGACACCAGCCCTGCAGAGGTCAGCTGTGAACAGACACACCAGGAACCAAAACTTCTGAATGCCAGGCAGAACTTGGGAGTTAAGAATGTAACTACAAATTATTTTTTGAATCAGTCACCTGATGAGTATCTAAAGTTTTTTTCTTTAAGGACCAAAATAGCGCTTCATAACCTCTCAGGGCACCTTAGTTGGAAAACAATAATGGAGTTTTCCCAATTTTTTTTTCACTTTCCTCCCTAATTGACACATTCAATTTTTCTTAGATATAACAATGCTTTTATAAAAAGCATATTCAACTCTACACTGAACATGCTCTACCTACACTCCTCCTCTGGCCAACGAACATGCTGCTCAGGGTCCTTAAATGTCTACTCTTGACTTCTAGCTTTTGATAGCTCCTACATCTACCCCCAACACAGCTGATAAAGGTTTTAATCTAGAATCTACCACAATTCTGCTAATGGTGAAATTGATACTTACAAAATTTGCTATTTCTACTTTTTATACATTCTCAACAATAAACTGCTTCAAAAGTATGCTGATTTGGAGGCTGGAGGTTTAGCTCAGTGGTAGAATTCTTGCCTAACATTCATGTGGCTCTGAGTTCAATCTCCAGTCTCTTTCTCTCACACACATATATATTCTGCTGTCCTTTAAAAATGTATTATATGTATTAAGTCAGAGTTATTTTACTGATCCAACCCTTAAAACTTGATGGCAAAGGCTATACTCTAATTGGTTCCGTGTCTGCTCTTGTGATTTGCTTTGACAACCAAGTATTTAAAGCTAATTATTAGGAGAATTTAAAAATAAGAGCAATTGGTAGATAGCTTGAGAAAACCCAAATCTCAGCCGATGGCAATGCCGCACTTGCAGTTGCTCAAGCCAAACCCTCTGAGCCATCCCTGATCCCTCCCTTTCTTTCACATGCCCCATCAATTGTCAGCAAATCCAGTTGGCACCACCTTCAAAATACATCCTCAATCCAACTGTTGCTCCTGCCCTGGTCGCAGCATTAACATCTCACCAGGGTTACTGCAAAGGCAGAGCCCATCTCCTTGACATTTTATTTCCCTCTGGTTCTCTTGAAAATGCCTGACAATAACCAGAAATTCTTTCCTGGGTTATGGCATCATGGGGGATAAAATGCAAAAAATATGACCTGTGAGCCTTCCTTTTGGACTGTGACATTACTCATTTATGTGAGACCTAGATTTCAGAAAACCAATTATCTTGTGCAGACAGTTGCAGCCCTTTTAAAGAAGAAATTAGTCTGTTGAGCAAGGAATACTCCCTGATAGGAGAAGAAGCAACTGGCTCCTGAAATCGCAATTGAAAATCAGAGCCATGATTTCTAGGTGACTAGCACTTGGTAAGAAACTGGTCCTTCAATCTGGATTTGGTTCTTGGATAAGACAAACCCAGTGAGGCTCAGCACATGCTCCTGGTGCTCAGCAACGCACAGGGCCCTTAGATGTCTTCCACCTTCTAATCTCAATCTTTCACACAGTGGTGGACTGACAGCTGATGAAGATTTTAATCTAGAATAGACAATGATTCTGCTATCACTCCATTCTCAGGAACAGATTTGGGAAGACTACATCTTAGGTGTCCCCATCTATCCCATCTATTGGTTCTTGAATGTTAATTTTCTCCATAAATTATCATTTTTTTTAAAAAAAGAAATAAAAGAGAGGACCTGAAGTAGTAACTTCAAGAAACTGAATTCTTAGATTCTGGTTTAAAACATGTTATATCATCAATGAATAGTTCATCCTATTTGCTAATGCAGGAGAT